TAGGAGCTAACATGGCTTTATTTAGACAGAAAAAAAAAATCTTAAAGTTGCTACATAGATTAGTGATAATGCAGTATTTCTCTCTGTTACAGCTGATCAGAACACCTCTCCCAGCGGGAACAGGCAGACTCCATCCTGAATGGTTCTTGTTATAAGTGAGTAGAAAAGCTTTTTTTTTTTTTTTCCAGTGAAACCATACCCAAGCATGCCCCAGCAGACAGTCTTCACTACTTGCTGTGAATATATGAGCACATGCTAAATTACTATGCCCAAATTCTTTTTTTTTTTATTAAATAAATTGTGGGTTCTATTCTAACATCTCTTTTGGTCAGTGTGCTTGTTATAAAAAGCAAGTCCTGTAAGTAGTGGCTCTTATCATCTCCTGATTCTTTCCTTGTTTGCTCTCCAGGGGGAAGGAATAGGCAGTCACAAAGCACTTATTGTCTCAATGCCAGGTAAGGGGAAGTTTAGATTTACTGAGATTTAGAGATGGTAAAAGAAATATTATGTACATTCTGGGATTCTTTTCTTCGTGTGGCAAATTATTTGTACTTCCATCCCTCTGAGATAGCCTTTTTTAGTGACTCATCTCTACAGCTACTGCTTCTGTGTTGAAATTGGTTGAATTCTTACCAGCTTGAGAACAGAAAGATGGCAGCCATGTTTTTTACTGTACAGATTGGTTGTGTAATATTGCTGCTCATTAGACTTTAAGAACGGTTAAACATGTCATTTAAAGTCAATCTTAAATGCAAACAAACTGATCATGACTTTACTGAGGATGCAAAATTGTCACAATTAATGCCTTCTTAAAATTTAATAACACGCCTGGACTGTCTGGCAACAAATATTAGCTGGGAAAAAAAGAGGGGTTATAGTGAGATAAGTACATCACATAAGGAAAGGGACACATCTAGATCTCAAAGATTGTCTCTTGGCAATTCTCAGAATACTTCTGATCACTATAATTTGTAATGTATTAATTCCATAACTGTTTTTGTGTTACTCTTGAATGTCCTTGTAGCTGTCAAAACGTATAACAGCCCATCATTTTGTTGCAATCTAACCGTCATGCCAAATAATAGTCAGTGAGATAGGAAGATTTCTGCTTGTGCATCACTAATAAGGTTGTGTCCTGGCAAGCTGTTTGGCTCCTGCTACAGATTCCAAAATCAAAGTGCTGCCTCAGATATTTTAGTCATTCCTTCTGTCCATTGTTTTCCTTCAGATTTGGTATCTCTAGGTATGCCTCAAGTTATCGTGTAAACAGATGGAATAGTTGTTTGTTTCTGAAATAAACAAAACTCAACCACATTCTGAATAGCCAACATTTTCCAGCTGGAGTGGCATCTTTGCTCTCATAAAAACAACAACAAAAAATGCAACAAACTGCAAAAAAAAAAACAAAAAAAAAAAAAAAAAAACAACCACAAGCAAAGCTTCCCTGCTAATGGGAGACTCAGCTGCAATGAGTATTCACTGAATATTCTGTGCTTTCCAACATTTTTTTTTATATATGTATATTTGTACTTGTTTTATTCTTTAATGTCAGAGAAAAAAAAACAACCCTGCAACACTACTGATTATACTGTGATGGAAAAAGAAAACGCCGTAAAATTAGGAGACGTCATCAACAATTTCTCAGAGAGCTACATGCATAGTTTGCAGTTAATGACAGTTCTTTCTCACTGATTGAAAGAGATATTGTTATTTTACCAGCATTTTAGCCTAATTCCAGGCAATTTGCTCATTTCAGAGAGACCCAGGCTCTTGGTCCTTGATAAGATCATAAGATCATAAGATACACTCATCAGACAAGGAGAACACTTAATTCACTTCCATTCTCTTCGTTCTAATTTCATCATTGGACCTTGATAATATCTGTAGCCCATCATTTCTCAGTCCATTAAGGGCTGGGAATACAGAATCACTTAGGATATTTATTTATTTTTTTCTCTTGAGCTAGCAACCTTCCTTATGCAAAATATAAACTTCAGTAACTCATAAACAACTGCGAATGGGGTCCTTAACTCTACAACTCCATCTTCATTCAAGATTTTATCAGTGTAGGAAATAAGAGAACTGCGAGGTTGTGGTTAGTATGTTTTGCATTAGTTGCTTACAGATACAAATTACTTATCTACTCCAGAATAAACTGAATTTTAGTAACAAGCTTGTTCAGAAGCGATTGTTTCTGTTCACACCAGTAGTGTAGAATCAATTGTTCTCTAGATAACTTATAATAATCTGGAGGTCATAAGTTACTTGAATTTACATTGATTTACTGGCAGTTTGTATTTGCAATGCTTTTTAATAAATTAATCTGATTGTCTTCATTTATACCCAAGCTTTTGCTTCTTGCTTTATCTTTAAATCTATCTGTCCTTCCTTCATTTATTTTTCAGTCTGCACTTTGCTTTGCCCCCCAAGTTTCTTTCTCATCTGTTTCTGTACGTGGTTGATATTTTTCCTTCTGAGTTTTCATATGCACTCAGAGAATTCTTATAATGTGGATAGACTGTAAATAGCACCAAAGAGCAGAACATATATATATATATATATTTATTTTGCTCTGCTGTTCAAACCTGCTCCCAGGGCCCTTTTGGACTGGCCAAACATATCTATTGGAAACCATTGCATTAAGCAACTCTGAAGATTATTTCCTCTCCTTTTTTTTTTTCTATTTAGATAAATCAATGTGTGCAGCAAAGCAAGATGGAAGGAACTTGCTGATGGCAAATTGCTGATGGAAACACCAACCCAAAGCAGTAAAACAGAGACCATTAAAACAAAACAACACAAACAAAACCCCCCAGCTTTCTGTTCTGAAGATCAATGGAAGACAGGACCCAAAGAGAATCTTGGGTTATCTATACAGCAAAGCACATTCTGAAAATCTGTCCAAAAACTATACATGTCCATTATTACTGATCAGGGCTGAAAGTAACATAAATGGCTAAACTCCAGATCTTGAGGTGAGTTTGCCTTCTGCAAAAATAGATGAACATATATACTTGTGTGACACTGTGACAAGTATCCCTGCTGCCTGACAGGAAGGTTGCTTTACTTAAAACAGAAAATACAATGAAACAACTTCAACTTGAAAGTATACAGGGACAAATGATTGAAGTCTTCCCCACGCCTCCTGTATTCTTCCAAGGTTGGTGACCTCGTGGAGATTTTGGTAATGACTCTTCGGGGCATTTAGAAGCTGATAGGGATCAGTGTCTTTCATCATGTCTCTGTGATTCATCAGGATTTGTTCATTACTCTTTTTCTTCTTATCTGCGTGTCTTGCAAAACTGCACACAGATGTGCTGGTCTTCATGATCTGCGAATGTGGATGTCATTAGCACAGACCCTTTTATTACTGCATGCTTAATCAGGTATGTCAACACCCAGACATTGCCATTCATTCTCCATTTGCACCAGCTTCAGCCTTTCAGTTTTATCCAGAGGCACAGAAAACACTCTAAAATTGCGTTAATTACAAGTGTGGTAACCCTGAGAACCAAGGGTCTGCTTCTGAATGGAGGAAATGACTTAAGGGAAAAGGATGAGATACTCCACGGCCTGAGAGGCTTTGAGGTATTCCCTTGGTATTTCCGACCAAGATCAGCCCTCAGATCTCACAGAGACCTGGCAGCAAAGCTTGGAGGAATAGCCTACAAGCTGTAGGGGAAGGCTGAAATCGGGCCAGCTCAGCAAATAAGATGTATGCAAGTCCAGAGGACTGGACAGGAGATGCATATGGAGATGCTGAAGAAGGTGGCAAGGGTAATTTAGCAGATCTTATCATCTTCGAAAAGCTGTGGCAAAAAAAAAAAAGCAAATGTCACATCTATCATCAAAGCAAGTTTATGGAACTGCAGGACAGTCAGCCTTACACAGTGCCTCTCTCTGAGAGGATCATGAAGGAAATCTTTCTGGAAGACATTTTCAGGCTAGTAAAGGACAAGAAGTTGATTTGGAGAAAACAGCACAGATCTACCACCAGGTTTGCCTTTTATGATTCCCTGCTGTCTCGTTATTAGGGCCAGGTTGGGTGTTAGGAGGTTCTTCACCGAGGGCAGTGGGTGTGAATCAGGCTGCCCAGTGCAGCGGGCACAGCCCCGGGCTGCTAGAGTTCAAGGAATTCTTGGACAATGCCTTTATGGGGTTTGAGTTTGCGTGGTCCTGTGCAGAGCCAGGAGTTGGACCGGGGGATCCTTGTGGGTCCCTTCGTACTCGAAATATGCTGCGATCAGAGCAGCACGCCTTGGTTTCAGCGAGGCTTCTCACACAGCACCCTGTAACTCCCCTGCAGTCCAATAGGGGAGGTACGGACTGCGCGAGCAGTGGATGGAAACCATCTCGGATCACTGTACACAAACCAGTGGTCAGCAGTCCAGAATCAACGCATCCATTCTACTGATGTATGGCATTTCTATGGGTTGCAAACAGCCCGCACCAGATTTCGTAGTTACACCAGTTCGCACTCGCCTCTTTTGTGTACCCTTTATGAATACCCGTCTTTTTGCGCTGTACAATTACCCAATCAATTACATTAACAGCCGGTTTCTGCGTCTCCCTCAGGGAGCTCACTCCCTGCAACTCCCTTCCCCGAAGTCAAGGCACAGCGCCGTTTCGCACCAGCGCCGCGGGGCGGGGACGCTGCCGGTTACTGCCTGCAGCAGCGCTGAGGCTTCCCGGACGCCTCACAACACCTCCACGTGCTGTCGAACTGCTTTCAAGTACCGCGTGCTTTTAGCTGGTCAAGGTTCAGCTGAAGCGCAGCACGCAGGCCGGCTCCCTCCCCTCACAACTGCCCTCAGGTGACCGCGCTCGTCGCCGCGCTACGGACTTCCGCAAGGCGCGGAGCGGCGCCTCCCTGCCTCCCCCCCCTGCGGGTCCGCCGCTCGCGCACAAGCCCCGCCCCGTGCTCCCCCGCGCGGCGCCAGCCTCCCCCCTTGGCACCGCCTCCCGTGACGTCACAGCGTGGTGACGTGTCGCCTGCTCGGCTCGGCGGCGTTGGCCGCCGGAAGCGGCGGGAGGCGGCGTGGGACCGGCGAGCGGCGACTGCGGCGCGGGTAGCGGAGCGGCTCCAGCCCTTTCCTTCCTCCCTCCTTCCCCCCCCCGCATCTCATACGGCGGCGAAGCGATGAGCGAGAGCCGAGCGCCCCGCGGCGTCCCCGCGGCGCCGGGCTGCCTGCTCCTCCTGGGGCTGCTGCTGGTCGGCGCCGCCGCTGCGGAATGCGAGCTGGAGGCTGCGGACATGCCCAGCGGGCGGCGGGGTGCGCGAGGAGGCACCGCCGCCTCTTCCTCGTCCTCCTCTGCCGCGGAGATAACAGGTAACGGCTCCGCGCGGAAGGGGGAGCGCGCTCCGGTGCCGCGCTGCCCGCCCTGCCTGCCTGCCTCGGTGCGGCGCGGAGCGGAGCGGCGGCACTGCGGCTCTGCCCCTCCCTGGCCAGAGCTGCCGCAGGATGCGGGCCGGATCCTGCTGCACAACGACACCGCCTTCCTGGCTGAGCTGGGCGAGGGCTTGGCCGGGTTGGGGTGCGGTGCCCCCGGAGACACCCCGCTTGGGGGCCGCCCGTCCGGCTGCGGGCACCGCTGCTGCTTCTCCCGCGCCCCTTCCTCCGGAAAGGAGAAGTGTGGGAAGCTGTTGTCTACGGATAACTTTATTTATTTATTTTTAAGAAAAAACGGCAGTATTCCTATTGCTGTACTTGTGGCGAATGATGATGCCTGCACACAGTCAGCAGTTGCAGTGGAACACTGAAAATAATGGTATTTCGGCGGGTCGTGGTGCCTCCTGGAGCCGTTCTGTAGTGGGTAGTGGGAAGCTCTGCGGTCCTCAGACCGTGCTCTGAGGAGAGCAGCGTTTGTGGGCAGGCAGCACTTGAGCATTCTGAAGTTTGCCGTATCTTATAGCGTGCTTCTGTGAGCCCTCTGCCTGGAGGAGTGTGGAAGGTGAGAGAAGAAGGGGGTATACACTCTGCTTTGCTTTAGAAAGCAGTGCGTTTCTATCGGAACAAAATCCTCTGTTCTGCTGAAGGTAATATTAGAACACTCTGCTAGAACTATAAGTTTTCAGTGGTACACCAGTGGTCTGCTTGGAGGACAGGGCACATGTGAACTTGAAGATGTCTGTTCTGTTGGCTTGCTGTGCAAACTAAGGAAGTGCAAACATCTACGGTCTAAGAGACAGGAGCCATTTCTTCTAGAGGTGTTGTGAATATGCTGTGTTGGAACAGCTTTTTTTTTTTTTTTCCCCCAAAACGTAATTAACCGGGTTGTAGGTGGTATTAAGCAGTTCTTGCTATACATAGTGCTGATGCTGTCTACACTTCATGCTCAATCAATCAAAAGTGTCAGTTTGGGTGGAGAAAAGTATTTTTTTTTTTTTGGTGTACTTTGAACTGTAAAATCAATGAGAAGCTATTCAAATGCTGTGGTGTCTCCACCAGCAGTGTATCCAGGGAGAAAATAAATGTGAGGGATCTAACACTTTAGGAGTCAGTTTGTTATTTATGTAACAGTTTGATCTGGAGAACATACTTTACAGAGAGAGTGGTGAGTTGCTGGAATAGGCTGCCTGGAGAGGTTGTGGATGCCTCATCCCTGGAGGTGTTCAAAGCCAGATTGGATGGGGCCCTGGGCAGCCTGGTTTAGTATTAAATGGGGGGAGGTTGGTGGCTCTGCATGTGGCAGGGAGATTGGAGCTTGGAGATCCTTGAGGTCCCCTCCAACCCTGGCCATTCTGTAATTCTGTGAACATATGTGTTTAAAAGCCATCTTAGAATCAGTTTAAATCTTGGAGAGGCTTTTAACAGTGTTCATTGCTTGCAGGTTCAGTGTATGGCTGATAGCTTGAGGTGTTTGCCTCTGATGCTGGACCCAAACAACTGCCAGCTGCTCTTTGCGGTGCCGGAGGAACTCCTGAAGGTTGTGGGAGAATCCTGTGACTGTACAGGGAGTGATTATAATAGTTATAGCTTTAATCTTCTAAGGAAAGGACACACAGACGTGAGAGCAAGTTAGGAGCGATGCAAGCAGTCATTTAGATAAGCACATAGAGTTTGATTTTCAGCCTAAGAGGTAAAATCCAGAGGAAAAGTTAACGAAGTATGTAATGTTAAGCTAGGAGGAGTCTATCAGGTGCTCAGATAAGATGTAGGTGTACAGTCAGTGCAGCTGTAGGAAAAAATCCAGAATTATAGTTGTGAACTGAAGAAACAACATAATGCAGCTGGCAGGAGCAAATGCTGTCCTGGGATATATTAATCCAGTTTGAATTGCAGAAAACTCTTTAAAAGCTGAAACATTTCATTGTTCTTCATTGCTCTTCTGTGTCTAGTCTTGAGTATTAAACAAGCCAACAAGGACAGAGGAAAGTAGTACCACGGACTGAGAGGCCCAGGATTTGACTGATGTGCTGCTGTGTTTGGGTGGTGGAAAAGGCTGTGGGAGGATTGTGTTACTAAATAGGTAAGAAATAGTTCACACGAGGGTTTTGATCAAAAAACCACAACTTTTTCCATCTGCTCTGTGGCTAAAAGGGAGGTGAAGAGGAAGTGAGTTGTAGTGGGGGAGATCTAGGTTTAGTATCATCTGGGAAGCTTTTACCAATAGCATTTAAATTGCATAAATAGTGTAACCAATTCCTGTCACTGAAAGTTTTTGCTGGGTTAGAGGAGAAACTGGCAAAGTTAATCTAGGGATATAGTGACATATGACAGAGAAGAATGCAACTGAGTTTATGGCCAGGAAACAGTTATACTTTTAGGTATTCGAAGACTTAATTTGTATCATTATTGTTGTCTCTTGTATGCTTCCTTTTTAAATGGCAATTTGTAACATATATACAGCTGTCATTTACATTTCAAGTCGTAGTTAAGAAAATCAGATCTGTAAGTCTTTTTGCACTAAATGGTGTACTGAGAGGTGTCGTATGTTCTGAGACTGCTTGTTTACAGTATGGTAGAAAGTGAAGGGATCACCTGTTCTAGTCCTGAAGATAACCTTGGATTTTCACATTCTGTTTATTCACTGAATAAACTTCAACTTTATTATTATTCAACTTTAACTAAATTGCTCTGCAATATTGAGCAGCATTATTAGCCACTTTTCTGAAAGTTACTGAAAGATTTGTGTGTTGCATGATAAATAATCTTGAGCAGGCATGCTCATCCCAGGGCCCAGAGCTGGCAAGGAGCGAGAGGCCCTGCTCCCTTTCTGCTGCATATCCCTTTTGCCCCTTCCCTCCTCAGTGTGGCGATGACTGCTGCTGTGTTAGCTTGAAGGAATGTGAAAGGAAATGCAGGCAACAGAAACCAGTGGATTTCTTATCAGACTCTTTCATGGTACGTTCTAAGGGCTAGCAGCAGTGCAGGGAGCATGGCTGTGCGGGTGGGTCAGCAGAGGGAAGAAGGGCAGTGAGTCATTAGACGAGCCATACTGTCCGTGTATGTGCATCCTGAGGTGACTGTGGGACTGCTGCAGTGACCTTTCCTTAGCTGGATTAATCCCCTAGGAACTTGGTGTGGTTGTGTGTGAGGCTTCATATGGTGGAGGAGTACAGAGTGTAGTGGTTTTGATCATGTAGCAAAGTGATCTTTGAGTCTTTCGGCATGTCCTGGTCTTATAAAATGGAACTGTGAGATCTGTCACTTCCTCAGCAGCAGGCTGCTTTTTAAGGATGATTGCTGTTTCTAGTGACAAAAACTGAGTATCCCAAGCCTGTTCTTTTCTGTTACTTCTATTTTATTTTTGTAGTTAAGCCCTTAACGATCTGGTCCTGTGGTTTCTATTGAGAGGACAGAAATTGGAGTCCATTGTCCACTAATGATGCCGACCTCAAGCTGGTGGTTACTGACTGCATCGCAGAGCACTTATCTACAGTTATTTAACTCTGTATCACTGCTCCATCAGCAGGTTTTTGAGTTGCTCTTTCAGCTGTAAGCTTTCTGAAGAAATCTCTGCTTTTCTGGGGACCTCCTACCAGGCTCAGGCTAGCTACTCCTACGCAACCCAGGCATGACTCATTTTCTTCTAGCTAACCTCGGTGATAAAGATCTATCCAAACTGCGTTGAGCTGCCTTGCATCTGTCAAAGGATGGCAACCGGACCCATTGGCAGAGGCAAACTGCAGTGTTAAGATTTCCCACAATGACGCTATTGCTATGGAAAACACTGAAAAATGTAGTTCCCTTTTTAAAAGTTTATATGAAGTAAGCAGTTTGAATACTGTGTCCAGTTCTGGGCTCCCCTGTATGAAAAAGACAGGAATCTCTTGGAGAGTCCAGCGGAGGGCCAGAAAGATGGTGAAGGGCCTGGAGCATCTCCCCTGTGAAGAAAAGTTGAGTGAACCGAGTCTGTTTAGCCTTGAGAAAAGAAGACTGAGAGGAGACCTGATCCAGGTCTATAAGTATCTAAGGTGTGGGGGGCAGAGTGGCGAGGATGGACTCTTTTTCAGCTGTGTTGAGACAGGACAAGGGGAAATGGCCAGAAACTGCAGCATAGGAAGTTCTGCACAAATGTGCTCAAGAACTTCTTTACAGTGAGGGTGACGGAGCACTGGAACAGGCTGCCCAGGGAGGCTGTGTGTGTCACTTGTGTGACCTGGTGTAGGGAATCTGCTTTGGCAGGGAGGTTGGACTCAATGATCTCTGGAGGTCCCTTTCAACCCTTACAATGCTGTGATATGTAATTGATTTTAGTTTGCCTGCTGTACGTTGTACGTCCTTTAGAATTCAATATCTCTTGTCTGTCAGCTCTATGTGGAGGATCATGTTGTAAAGAGCTGCAGTGCTGTGGAAAGGCTAGGAGAATCACAGCCTTCAGAGGTCTGTGGGTTTGAATGCATTTTCTAGAAGTCCAGAGAAGTGAGAAATCTTTTATGTGAGAGAGGTGCTATGTAATGGGACTTAGTGTGGAAACTTTGGTGTATGAGCAGTCTTCATTGGGATTAGTCTACTGCATCGCACCTGTTAAATGCTCTTTAAAATGCAGGAATTTCAGATGTTTATCTTGACCACATAGGGTTTGTGATGAGGGTAAATAATCACTGTGTGGTGTTATAAAATGAGCACCTATACATCTTCAAAACATAGGTGAGTTCCCAGTCATTACTTAAGTTGCTTTTCTACTGCCTCTGGATACTGTGAAGGCTTTCCTGTTGCCGCGGAAACTATCTTTGCATCTCTGAGAGGGGGGAGGTGAATACAACAAGAATGCAGAGTTCTCCTTTAGAATCTGCATAAATGGAATGCACTCATTGCCTGGGTGCTACACAAATTGTGTTTGTTTGCTTGATTTCTGTGAGCGCTGCACACTTGACTGAGGACTG